GAGAAAAAAAGAAGAAAGAAAGAGACTTTAAGGCCTGCTATACACGGACAGCTTGAAGCACCTAGTATCCACGGAACCGCTCGAGCAGTTACAACTGTTTCCATAGTTTGCTATGCAGTCGGAGCTTGAAGATGCCGACACTAACTGCTTCAAGCTGTCCGTGTATAGCAGGCCTAAGTGCAGTTGCCTGACTCTAGCATTAGGGATTGTAATTAAGTTTTGCATTTACTGATGTAATTATGCTGTCATTTGAATCAGCAAACGACTTGCGTACTGTGCTACTATAATACATAGTTGTGGTATCGATGTGTTATTTAAATTTTTCTAAAACCTATTTTCTATGGTTTTTTTTCTTATATCTGTTGCTACCCGCCACATTTGAAGACGAACCTTAAACCTCTTTGGTCTAACGGTAGCAGCGATTGTGGGAGGGCGCCGGACCGTGGTGTTTCTGTGTGTTTGTCTCATAGAGACGTCATGTGCTCACCACACAGGTTCCCATTGTTAAGGAAGTACAATAGTAGATCTTTGCATTTTTCTAGTCCAGTTTTATGTAAGGTGGCTGATATACTATACTACCGGCAACATTATGTTATAGACCATAAAGAATAATAATTATAATTTAATCGAATTTATCTTTGTAAAAATTTATGTTTTTGGGTGCATATTTTACTGTAGCATATTTTATTTTCAGTAAGTAAAGCCTATCTCTAAATAAGCTAATAGCCCAATCCGATTTTTATGATCATTAAAGGGGGACTGCACTTGCTCTGCCGGTGAAAACTACTGAAACAACAAGATCATATTATAAGAATTACCAGACTGTCATTAGAGCAAATAAGGTTAATATTGTACTTCCTTATACGGTATTTTGTTGAGAATATCTCAATTAAAGGCAGGAATAATCTTGATAAACGATGTGGACGTGGTTACCCGCTTTCACGGTAACCTCGCCCTTATTAACTCTTATAATTAAACTTAACACCGTTAATGACAGCGTCCAGGGGAAAAGGAAAGACGGAGTAAGTAATTTTATGTATTTTCCCGACGGTAAATCAAGGGCAAGGAAAATAAATTTCTAATTACCAATATTTCAGAGTAACGTTTAGTACATTCGTACTCTCGAAACAGCAATAGCGGATAGAAAAGGAATGTTCTAAAAAATTGAGGCAGCCATTATTTTATCAATGCATCAGTGCGGGATAGTCTTTTCGATTATTTTCGGTTCTTGGAGTTTAACTTTGATATGACAGTTTCATCAATATATTAGCACACTTGGTTTCTACCTTAGTCTGCCTTTGATTTCAATGAAAAAATAACAAAACCAACTAAGCGACCTGCGGCAGGCTGAAGACTTTTTGCTCCAATTAGCACCTTCTCTTAGCTTAGTGTCGAAGGCAAGTCTTAGATACCTAGATGACCATTAATCCAAAAAACACACTTCTTTATCTGATGATGCGTGACACGTCATCGCGTGCATTCCTTGGAAAGTGATACACTTGGTTGGATGATGGTGGAAGTATGTTGTTATTAATTGATTATTTGTAAAATTAATTGATTGTTACGTTTTCATTGCTTTTCGTCAGTTTTACTTAAAACGTGGGTATTACCTATGCGATGAATTGAAGGTGTTTGTGAGCTTGGTATAGGCAGATTTGAAGTCGCATCATTTTGCTATCCGACGTGGATTTTCTAGAACGTGTGACAGCGTTGGCGATTTTATGGTAATAGCCATCAGTTGCCATGCGACGGATGCCATCAATCATCGGGAGATGTCTATGCCCCAGCGTAATTACGCACTTATACTTAAGTAAGTCCTACTTGACGTGTATGGTAATGAGCTTTGATTTAGGTTAGAAGACCTCTAGAGCAAAGAAAATATGCCTTTAAGACGAACAAGACGTTGATGTTTTCCATTAATTTATACTTCTCTGCAAAAGTATTATGATATGGTCGCTGAGCGTGCGAAATTGCGATGTCTTACTTGTATCAATTTCCGAGGAAAGCCGGATGAGTATTGAGTAGCTTAATCAAAATATTGGCACAGCAATTACTTCAATCTAGATCTAATACATAGTTGTTATAAAAATTAAATGATAGCTGGTCGAAACGAGAACAACGTAGCTACGAGAAGCTCTATTAATGACGGAATCAGGTTACTATTACTAAATACAATAAATATAGATGATTTCAAAGCAATGTTTGCTTTATTTTGATCTCAGACTAACTGTTAGGTAGAGAGGTTCACTGCGTATTAAGTGGCGGGACTATTCCCACCTCTCGTTCCCACCACTGCAACTCCTGTGTAGCCAGGATCTACAGCTTGACCGCCACAAAAAACCCAACCAATGAAGGTCAAGTTTGTCCCGGGGGAAAGTTAAACTGTCATTGGACCCGCAACGAAATTAATCAGAAGAACATAGGAGGAGTTCGTATTAAGTGGCGGTACAGTACTGCAATCAAGTCATCATATACGCAAGGTTAGTAATGACTTCAGTTAGGCCTAGTTTTGCAACAATAAATTGATGATACCATTAGATATTTCGCCTACTGTACTATTGTACTGTTACGCAATTAAAGATGCATTAGTTATGGCTGCATTTGGAAATAAGATGAAGCTGACTGTGTTACGGGAACTACAACAATAAGCTTCATATAAATGGAAAAATATTAAATAAAACATTATAATTGTAAGTAATATGGTGTACGTGATAGGTTAGTAATAACATGAACAGAGTTTATACTAAGCTTTTGAGTGATATAAAGTGTTATTTTATTTCGTTTTTGTAATAAAAGCAAGATGTATTAGAAGCTAGTGTTCACGACATTGTCTTCTAAATACACGTTAATTTGGTGGAATATTTTTTGGGTAGAGTCATAGCTAAAATCGTATTCTAAGAACCTACAGTAAGAGACACTTGGGTCGTGGTAACGGTTTTCATAATTTCAGTGTCAAACTAGTTGGACTTTAAATTCACAAATGACATCGAATTCGGAATAGATTTCTGTGCTAAAATTTTTGCAATATCTTTAGATCTTGACTTATTGATTAAGTACGAAAAAGATGAGCCTTACATAACTCATATATCACATGCAAAGTTTAGTGAACCCATAAACTCGTCAGCCCGGCAGGTGTCCCACTTACCGCCAAACATCTTGTCAAACACAACGGAACTGTGAGGTCAAAGAAATATCGGCTATAAAAACTGTTCGCCACAAAACAAACAATGTACATCGAAAGTTTGGAACCCAAAAACTTGAAGTAACAGCTATAAAACGAGCAATAGTAAACAAACAAAGCAATAGTATCGCGTTAAGATGTCGTTCACCGTAACAGGTTTCTGATTACGCGACAATGACCGTGCGCTTACTTGTGGAACTGGTTTACTAACTCCATTTTATTTGCGCTTGTGAACTTATTAACATATCTCAGTTAACATTAGCCAGTTAACGATGTAGTTAACAAAATTTGCCAGCTTATTAATTTTAATGGGCTCTTTAAACTTGATTTTGAGGCGGCGCCATTGTATAGTGCAGAATTTTATTCGCCGTAATTACATAAGATGTTATGTTGCGTTACTCAATTAAGAGCTTTAGATGAGGGGAACACCGTGACGAAGATAGAATTAACGAATAATGAAGTTTTAAGCACATTTAATTGGCGAAATATTTTTTAGAAACTGTTATGGTATTTTTTGCCATTAAAGTTTTTGATCTGAAAAAATAATAATAACGCTGTGCTGGTGATAATTGTGAGCTTATTAGAATTGTTTAATGTAGATGTCATAGTCAAAGGTCGATATGCAGTCTCTTCGCGGAATGACTAGTTTATCCTAGGTTTGACCAAGGCCTTCAGGCAAACCCCGAAGTGAATTCTAATTTCGGCCTTTGACTAAGTCAAACCTAGAAGTGCCTAAACTGTTTAGTCAAACGTCGAAACTAAAATAATCTGTATCGGGCTTTGCCTAGTCAATCCTAGAAACGACTGGCAGACTCTGTCAGAAGTAGACAGCAAATAGAAAACCGGCCAAGTGCGAGTCGGATTCGCTCACGAAGGGTTCCGTGCGACTCTGATCTTGTATGGGAGCCCCCCCTTCTAATATTTCTTTTATTTTAATTTTATGATTTATTTTTAAAGTAGATATGCAACTAATTTTGTGAATATTTCAAGGGTTCACCTGTTTACGTTTTAATATCGAGCAGAAAACTGCAAAAAGTCACGTTTGCTGTATAGGAACCCCCCTAAAATATTTAAGTATTTTATTGAATTATTTATTTTTAAAGTGAATAAAAAACTAAATCTTTTGAAAATGATTCATGAGATACGAGCCTGGTGACAGACAACATTTCGCGAAGTCATAGTTAGGGTCCCGTTTTAACTCTTTATCCTAAGGTAATAGAACCCTAAAAATTAGTAATTTCAAGATCGGTCTAGAAACACTGACAAACAACCGCAGTAAATAATTTTAGTTACTCGTACCTTCACCTAAAGAACCGACCGTAACGCCTATGCAATAAATTCGAGATCAGAATGAAGTATAGTTTAGTTTAAAGTCTTAATTGAGGTTTGACTAGTCAAACCCCGATTTCAATAAATTGAGTTTCGACGTTTGCCTGACCAAATTAGTTACTCCTAGGTTTGACTAACATTCTTTAGTCAAAGGCCGAAATGTTTGGGCTTTGACTAAGACTTCTAGTCAGACCTGAGGATTGACTAGTCAAACCTAGGAGTGCCGGAGCTTCGAGGTTTGACTATAACATAGATAGCAATTTAGATTAAGTTCAGTTCAGTTTTGATTTCATAAGTGGAAACGGAAGAAATAAATTTTTAGGCACCTTATTTATGTTTTTTCAGAAATAACTATTTAAAAATCAATAAATGAAATAACACATTGAATACCATCTTAAATAACTGATCGATTTAGCTTCAATGTCCCGGTGTATTTAAAATGAAATTATATTTTCATTAATGTATTCTAACGTTTTTTTTCTCAGTTTCAGGTCATCACGAGTGCATGGGTAGTCAAGATGCAGGCGTGGTGTCTCTTTTTCGTTGTTTCCTGCGCCTGGGCAGCTCAGGATGAAAGCAGGTAATTATCATACTTGATATTTTAAACATTAACTATAATTTTCTTCCGCACTTATCGATAAAATCTGTCGTAACAAGCTTTGAATTCACATCAAATCATGATAATAGAGACTTTTTTTTTAAATGTCTTATTACCTACCGTGTTTTTTTACACCTTTACTGTTGACACATAGTTTAGGTTATAGTTGTTGCACTTCAAGAAGGCGAGTTGGCTTTACATGTGTGGTGACTCGCTACTGTTCGTTTTTCAAAAGTTGCATGTACACGTACACACACAAGTAAAGCTCACTCGCCTTTGTGAGTTGCAAGAACTTTAATAGGTATAATAAATTGTCTAGGGTTCAACGTTCCTATTAATTAATCTAATATTTTATACATTTCAGGGCCAAGAAGCAACCGATAGTGGTAGATGCTGTGGGCAACACTCTACCTCCACCATCAAACGTTCCAGCTACTGTCGGAAGCCCTATCACCCTACTGACACCAGACAGATATGAATTCTACACTTTTGATGAATCCGGAGAACTCGTGAAACGGCTGATGACCCTAGAAGAGATACAAGCAATCGTCGCAGCAGGAGAAGAAACGGAAGGCCTGGTTACATTAGCTAATGATAACCAACCACCACCAACCTTCAATTTCAGTCAACCACCGTATACTGTACTCCACAGTGTCGTTACCAATGTGCAGAATGTGTTGAAAGAACAAATGGAAGCTCACAAAAAGGATCCCATGTTCCAGCCTACTTTGGACACCCCTGATGTATCGGATTCTTGGAGCTTGATCTTGCCATCGATCTTCGGTAATACTGGTCTGGATATTGTCCCTGATAAAACATCTACTAGCATTTCTAACCCTGAAACAGAAACTCTAGACTTTAACCATTCTAACTCTGAAGTCGATGACACTAATTTAAGCAAAGAAGGTAACAATGAGATTATTAGTAGCTCCACAACGGTTGATGGAGATTTTGTCACGGTTAGGGCATCACTTGAAGAAGAAAAGACTCCAGCACCAACTACAACAACTACTACTACTACTACAACGACGACAACTACACGTAGACCTACAACGACAACAACAACTCGAAAGCCAACAACCACCACTCGTAAGGCAACAACAACAACTACGACAACTACCACTCGTAGGCCAACAACTACTCGCAAGCCTACAACAACTACAACAACCACTCGTAAACCAACAACTACTACAACAACAACTCCTAAACCTACAACTACGACAACAACAACAACAACGCAAAAGTCAACAACAACCCGAAGGTCAACGACAACCACTACAACAACGCCAAAGCCAACAACAACTGAACCAACAACTGTTTCAGAAATCTCAAGTACAACCAGGCGCTCTGTACAGTCTACGTCATCTAAGCCGCGCATCACAACTAGTTCAACAAGCAGGCCTCGCATTACTACAACGACTTCGACTAGTAAGCCTCGTATCACAACTACAAGCAAACCTCGTACCACCACCACTACAACTACTACCATTAGGCCGCGTGTGACTTCAAAATTACCAGTTACTACTTCTAGTACACCACTTGAAACTATCAGTACGACACCCGAACCTTCGACAACTACTGCCAAGATAGTAAGAATCACACCTAAAATAACTACAGTTAGACCTTCAACTACAAAGGTACAACCAACGTCATCAACAACATTGAAGACAAATGAAATCAACTCAAATAACATTCAAGTTTTGAATAATGACGTCACTGAAGCACCTGACGCTGAGAAATCTACTGTGCATTATGAAAAAATTAGTACATACATTCCTATTTCAACCGCGTCTTATGTTAAGGAAAAAACATCTCCAAGTTCTGTAAAAACCACTGAACCAACATCAGACTTTACAAGTACTACAAAAAGATTTGCAACTACCTCAACAACGGCCAAGATTCAATCATCATCTGAGATGCAGCCTACAATAACAACTTACAGGCCACCAACGACCAATAAAAACGTTGATACGCCCACTACAGAAAGTCAAGAGCCGGATAAAATAAATACTACTACACTCACGACTCAATCGGTTTCACCATCGACCACCGCAACATCAACTGAGTTCATATCACTCGATAACTCTCAGACATTAAATACAGAAGACAAACCAGTTCTTGATGTATTTGATAACTATAACATTAACGATCCAATCCTCCCCATGTTTGATGTAGCGCAAAGTTTTAGCCAAATAGCTTCAGACTTGGGTGGCAGTTATATGCCATTGCCTACTGTTAGCAATATGTTAGACACCACAAAGTTAAATGAAATGAATTTGGAAAGCAAGGAAAGTTATGAGATGGAAATTCCTAATGATAATGAGTCTGACATTAAACCAACAAATATTTCAGATACTGGCAGTGACAATTTTGTAAAAATTTCTACATTAGATCCTCATGATGACAAAGAAAAAATAACAAAAGAGGAAGAAAAGATACCACAGGAAGAAGACATAACAAAGGCGGAAGAAATCTTAAAAACCGATGATTCTAACGCTTATACAACTCCGAAAATCAATAAAGTTACAACAGTAGTTCCAGACATTTCAACCATTGATCCCATTTTATCAGAATCTATGGGTGATTTGCTCTCTCAAGTTGTATTTGAAACTCCACAAACTATTGTTGATTCGAGTAAGGAGACATTTGACATCAATAAAACTAAAGCGACGACAACTGAAGACACAATTGAAACTACTACCACAGAAAAGATACCATCTAGTACAATAATAGAAAATGCTTCTTCTGCAAAAACTACTACGGAATCTCCACAAGAAGTTCAAGTAAAGACGGAAGAAAAAGAGAAAACGGAGAATGACATACCAGAGGTCATTAAAGTTACTGATGATAAGGAAACTGAAAGCAATGCTGAAGTAAAAAAAGAAAACGTAAGCGCATCTACAACAAAAATCCAAAACTTGGAAGTAACAGAAAAAACAACTTCCGTTGAAAATAATAATAATTATGTACAAATATCAGTTTCTAATGATAATGGTGTAAAGAAAGATGTACCGAAAGATAGTGTGGTGGCTTTGATTTCAGATAAAACTAATGATATTCCCGTTTCGGATACCAAAAAAGAGACAATCGTAAAAGAAAACGCCAATGACGCAACTGGTGTGGAAATTTCCACACCTTCCGCAGACACAGAAGTTAATGTGCCTACGACTACGACTAAGTCTATCGAGGTGACAACTGATACTAATCTACAGAAACCAGTGGTCAAAGAAGAAATTAATGATAAAGTTCCTGAATTTTCACCTAAAATAGATGATTTCAAAAAGAAAATCCAGAAAGTAAATATTGATGACAAAGAATTGGCTAACGAACGTAACAACTCATGGAAACTTATTTCAACAGTGTCTCCGCCAAAATCTAATGAAATACCTAAAGACAAACATAAACATGGAAGTCTGAATTCGGCTGATAACTCAAATAAGGATATTGTTTTAGATTTTTCAAATGAGAATCAGGGCTTAGAAGTAACCACAAAAGATTTAGAAGAAGATATAGCTAAATTTACTGAATTATGTAACGAATTGGCTTTCCGGTACTGGAATGCTATAGTAGAAACCATAGATAAACGAAGGAGTTTTGTTCTATCCCCATATTCCATAACATCTATGCTGGCCATGATGTTTATGGGTGCTAGAGGAGCTACTTCGGGAGAGATGAATGATATACTCAAACTTGATGACATGGTTACGTTTAACCCACATTTCATATTGAAGAATATTTCAGACTCAATTCAAACTACACCTGAGTCAGGCGTCATAATTTCCGCTTTCATCAGAGAACTTTACAGTGACAGAAGTAAAGGAAAAATATTAACTTTCTACAAGGAACGAGCACAGCAGTTTTACAATGGACATGTTGAGGAAATAAACTTCAAATTGATTAGTGATATAATCAGAAGAAGGACTAATTTACTGGTTAAGAGATACACATGGGGCAAGATAGCAGAATACATGAAATCAAATTCGATCACTATGTATCCACCACTAGCCGCCTTCTCTACAAATATCTTCCAGGTAAATATTATTTTGAATTTTACCTTGGAAAAAGTATTTTAAGCGTCGACAAAAAACTAATTTGGGTTCAATTCCCAATTTGGTTCATTAATAAAAAAAAATACCGAGTAGTTTTTAAAATTTTGTACTAAAAATTTATTTAAAATTGATAAGATAACCATGAACAATAGCTAATTTAGAAAGTTCTAGCTTATATGCTTTGAATTTCTTATTTACTTAAAACACTATTTTACTTGTTTTTGTTATTTTGATAAGGTTTCTGTTTCTTAGATTTCAATTGTTTCAACTATGTTCTCTATATTTTGCAGACCGACTGCACGGGATCATCAGTAGACGGAAGGGATGGTGAGATGTACTTCGTGGTCTCACCTAACGTTCGCCAGCGTCGTCTAGTGCCTGTGCCGGCAGTGGTCTACAGAAGCGGCTTCTTGGCTGGCTACGACCCAGTGCTCGACGCTACCGCTGCTGCATTAGGAAACACCAACTCCATAGTCAGCACACTCTTTGTCATGCCAGGACAACAAGGGAACGTTGTTCACGCCGAAGACCTTGAAGCCCTTGAACAACGCATATTAGACGCGAACCCCACAACTCCTGCTTGGAATCGCCTACTTCGCACATTACTCCCGCGGATTGGCTTAGAGCTCCAAATCCCAAGATTCTCCCACAAATCCATATTCAACGTATCATCGACTCTGAAGCAAATGGGATTGAAAGACATATTTGACGCTGACCATGCCGATTTGGGCGGCTTGAACGGACCATCGAAAGATCTGTACCTATCAGATATGATCCAGTCGACAACTTTTGTGACTTGCGGCGAGGATGTCGTCGGCGAGCAGCATCATGTTGAGGAGTATCCCGAATCTTTGGACAAGGTTGCGAGACGTCGGTCTTCCAGGTGGACATCTGACTGGGACGAGCCAAGAGACTACCAGAGAGCTTTCCATGACCCTCACGACGTCGGTGAAGCTATGCATTTGCCTTTGCACCTCCGCCCGAGACAAGCTCGTCTGCCAGCGAGGAACGCTCAACCAGCTCGATTAAAATTTGATCGGCCGTTCCTTTACTTTGTAAGGCACAATCCCTCCGGGATGATCCTCTACGTGGGTCGGTACAATCCGCGGCTCCTGCCTTGAACATATCAGATAAAAGACTGCTAGTTAAGTGTAATTATCCTAAAAGGAAAGTGATAAGGGGTTATACTGGAGCGTGTGATGAGTGTCGGTCTATGAGCATTTACGTGACAGTATTACTTTTTATTTATCGTGCGCGGCCAGTCTACGCTGTTGCAGTTGTTCGCTGCTGCTCGCACTCATGTAATTCATATCAAAACGTGTACAAAGGAATGATGGTATCGTTGTTGAATGCCTGCATAGTTTGTATTGTAATAGTAAATAGGTAGTGTGTTTGAAGAGTATAATGTCATTTCATCGTCATTATAGTTTATATTATAGAATAAATTCTACGTTTCACGAAACAATGAGTTAATTTATTTTTACCTTTTTGATTATTTATTGGAAATATTCTTTGCATTCATCGTAGAAAGCTTTTTGTTCTTTGCACTCCGGTGTTTGTAAAACAGCCGGGCAGTTCTGAAAAATAGATGAAAGATCACTATTTTATAATGACTCTACATTTTTTCAGTAACATCAAAATTTTATATACTCACAACAGTGACGAAATTTCTGATGCAGCTTTGGAATTGATAGAACTGGCACGTATCCAGGGGCATAAGCATTCTGTATCTCAGTTTGCACTCGACCTTGGCGTTCAATATGACCTTCGAAAACTGTGGGTTCAAATCTACCCATTTGTCCAGGTGCATAAAGTATTTCTCGTCGTCTAAATTCCCATCCGGACTTAATAACATGTACTTATTCAACATACATGTCCAGTGTTTACACTGCAAAAAGACTGTTAATCGGTTATCTTTATATTTTATATTTGCTGAATAATTAGGCATGTAATGTACTCGTATAATGGGCTAAAATTAAAATAAAATCTTATTGATATGAGTTTAAGTGTTAGGCAAAATTCGTTTATAAAATGACCACTAATGTTGTCGCTTATTTTATTAAGTTTTAGACTTATTTGAAAAAGAACACCAACCCCGGTTATAGATCTTCTTAGCAGACCAGCTACTTTCGCATTCCTATTAATGAAGTTTACTTTGAAGATTGCACCACATTCTTTTGCTATTTTTCTCTTAAAAAAGGGTGGGAAGACGCAGCACTGACGGTACTGAAAAATTTAATTTGATAATTAAAATACTTTTAGTGTTCTAAAGCCCAAATTCATTAACATTGACTTTTTTGTTAACGATGTAACAGCAAGGGAAATTAGATACTTACCATTATATTAGGTATTGGGTGACACCTATCTGGGACCGGGCCATAGTCTGGGCTAAGGAAGTCATTGGTCACCTAAAACATGTAATCAATCACTCGACCTTTTTTTTAAATAATATTATATGGTATTCTTCACAGAAACAGCATATTAATAACTTACGTATGAAAATGACTTCACCAGCACTAAAACTCTTATAAGAAAATGAATATCTTTAAAGTAAACCATTTGTTCCTAACCAACCTACCAACTACGTTCAACACTAACGATTGAGACTTGCTTAAATTCAGCGACTGTTTGATAAATAGTGGAAATGCTGTACGATAACACACAAAGTTTACATAATCCGGTAACGTTACCTAAAATATCAGATGAACGAGCTAATAGTTCGCTGATTTCATATTCTAGAACCTTTTCTTTGTGATCATCACCTATTTGGTATTTTATAAGTAACGAACCATTAAGTAATCCAAAACGTTATTACTGGAGTTGTCTTTAAATAATAATTATAAGTTAAAAAGTGAGCCTTTAGTTTGGTAAATATTACTACGAAAGATTTTAACGACTGTAGTAGTAGGTACATACATAAGATTAAAATAATTCACTCCTACATTTTAAAGCAGATATTGTACTTAGCCGTTTACAAGACAATTTCTGGTCTGATTTGTGATTGTTGTACATCCAACTGTTGTTACTTAATATAAAGAAAAATACAACTTTCGCGTAGGTAACACTTTATTTACAAATTCTATCTATTTTGTTGTATTTTTATACGAGGATTTTAGTGCTTTGGAAAATACTGAGCGCATTCATCCATGTGTGCCTTCAGTTTCTTGCAGCCTTCTGTATCGGACCAGCTCACGCATTTCTGTAATCAAAATAGTAAATTGAGTGATTTAAGAACACTTTGTTCCAGGTGTCCTATAATTCCTATAAATTGTGTAAATTGTCATGCTGAAATCAATATCATTACGATCATATCTATAAAAATTTAGTGCACCCGAGATTTCCGTAAGTGCCTTATAAGTTTCCAAAGGCAAAAGTTCAATTCCAGCACGTAACCACACATTATTGTGTGTACAAAAATCTTTGTATAGTCTGGGTGATTACGTACTATGTACGTCTGTAGAGAATGTGCATTATTCACCGAAAAAAAAAGTTCTATGTTGCAGCGGTGAAAACGAGAGGTGGGAATAGTCCCGTAAATGCACAGTTTATATGGCGCTGTATACATTTCCAAGGATATCTGCTTACCCCGAACAAATGGAAGCTGATGCAGACGACCATTTTATTGGCCTCGCAGATATGAGGCGGGCCAGGGAGGGGCTGCCCGATGCACCGTTCGATGGCGGCGTCCATGGGCTCCTTCCACTCCGGGTTCGATTCTATCCACTTCTGCAGGTATTCTTTGGTTGCATCGTGGTCAACATCGGACTCGCCCTTGAGGAGGTTGTACTTCTTCATGACGCATAACTGCTTGCTGCACTGGAATTGTGTATTAAAGAATAGTAAGTGAATGTTCTTATGTGAATTATTTCATACACGCTATGGACTTTTTAGGGCATACAGTTAAAAATTTATGACAATGGTTCAAGGAAGATCTTGTGGGGAACAAACGAAACTTGTAATGGAATATGCAAGTTTCTCGAAAGACGTCCACTGCTGGACAAAGGCTTACCTACCTAAACCTATTTATACAAATAGGTAATCAAATTACAACTATTTTATTTATTTAAAGCTCTAAATGAATTTATGCTAGCGTATCTGAATGCAAAAATAATAATTCATTTTATCACGAGTGTCAGCGCAGGTTACTCATATGTAATAGGTATGTAATTAACGACTTTACATCACACTATTGTCATTGTATTCATGCAGCATAAAAATTACATGTAAATATTGAATCTATTGTAAGGTAGGATGTTATCCCCTTGACATTTTTCTATGAATTCCAAAGGGACATATCGTGATGTGATAACTTCTATTGTTGCATACATTTCTATGTAAATAAATAGATCTAGAGCTGTCATAAATAATAAAAGTAAATGCTCTACTACTGGTCTTGGCCTAAAGGCTTATGCCCGTATTCCTAAAGGATGCTTGCATAAGTGAAGCAGCAAATCAAACGCACAGCGTCGAATAGATCTTAGTGATTGGTTAGTACTCACCCTGTGCGTCCACGCGCACTGTGAGACCTCATAGTAATGTTTGTGAATACGGGCGTTTAAATTACTGTGGGTGGATTCGATTTCTGGGCGTGGGTCTTAAAGCTATCATTTCAATTTAGCAAGATAGGTTGGCCATAACAATAATTTGGTGACAAACTTTACGATGTGATTACACATAGATTCCTCTGCTTTACTTAAAATTTAGTTTTATAAACAAGAGCTAACATCGCTAATGCCATTTGCGTAGCCATAAATAAAGTAAGGAAGTAAAATAATAGTTCTTGTCTCAATTTATCTGTACTTAAAAATATAATAGCCTACTTATCCTTAATTTGGAATAAAAATACTTATTTCTATTTGGAACTGAAAGGAATAAGTAATAATCTGTTAGCTTGTATAGGCGGCCCAAGGTTGAAGCATAGCAAAGACATACAACAATAGGGGGACGTCCGCTTGTCTATGATGACACCATTTTTGTCTCGCGGTCACGGCGACGCCATTAAAATTATTGGAATGTAATCATAGCCTTCATGGAGAATATCCCGCCTTTATGTATGTCTACATTTCACAAGGTATGTACTATATAGGTAAGTATAGTAATTACTTGTAATAGAACAATGAGCCGCTCTATGAAATGTCTAGTGTTTCACCCTGTCACGAACCAAACGTCATACATTAACCTGTATTGTACCATTCGCAAGAACGTTACATTACATAATTATGTTCTAGTCTATACTCACTTTAATCATATAATTGATAATCAGGGATAGCTCAAGTCTAGCTTTCAGTCACTCAAATCTGTTTTCTTGTTATATTTTAGGTCATGTAAAAAAACATAAAAATAATTTATTTTCTTTTCCTAACTTGGCTTTTGGGGTTTTTAAGGGCCGAACCCAGCAAGGTATCTTATTAAATCTTTGTTTTTTAATAATCTCAGCCTAAAAGAGATATTTTAGCTTAAACTTACGTCTGGGGGTCCGTGAGGAGGTCCAGGCCTCTCTGGCTCATCCTCCAGTTTTTTGAACCCGCACTCCTGAAGGTCCTCATCTTTGAAGAAGCTGGGTATCTTGCAACACGTATGGGGTCTGTCCTAAAAGAAGCAAAACATAAAATATAAGTAAAAGTTATAAAAGTAAACTCATTTTCTGAAAATAGGCTTTTAAGAGCTTTTTCACAAAGATATCTAAATTGATCAGACCGTCTATTCCAGTGTGGGATAGTAGAATCAAAAATTGATGTTCAGTGAACATTCATCATCATCATAATCATCATCATCATCATTTCAGCCACAGGACGTCCACTGCTGAACATGGGCCTCTTCTAATGATTTTCAGTTTGGCCGGTTGGCAGCGAGGTGCATCCAGCGCCTTCCTGCTACCATAATGAGGTCGTCCGTCCATCTTATAGATCGTCCATACTGAACTCTATCTTCTGTTTATTATTGGTTTTTGTACTTACCACTCCTTCTGGAGGTCGGCGGCATTGTTCTGGCACATTGGCCAGGAATGGCGGCGGCTCTTGGCACGATATCACCTGAATAAATTATTGAGATAAAATCATTTTCTATTAATAAAAATACAGTTTCGTAGTAGGTATCTAAACCTGTTCAAACATTATTTTCTTATTTTAAAACAGTTATACGTAGTTATTTAGGTACTTAAGTAGTTTTTATTTTATTTAGATCAATGAACAGGGCTTTTAAAGGAATGTGGTCCATAGCAATAAAAANGTCCTTATGAATGGATACTTTGTATAAAGTAAATAATTATGTAAATGGCATGTGTTGCTGGACTTTATCTGCTTAGCTCGCAAGTATAAAATGTCTTGTTAATCATGGTCTCTATTGATTTAAGAAGATTCCCGTCTTAGGCAGTTCGATTTTTTCAAGTTATTTATTATTCAAGAAGAGGCTGACAAGGGTGGCTAAATATCTTGCGCTGCTTCTTCTCAGCACTGACCTATTTATGTCCCAAAATAAAAGTAGGGTTCAAGTGATACTAGGACGTGTTAAAGGGCTTTTTAAAAGCCTTTTTGTTGAAAACAAATGCATTTTATGACTTTACTTTTATATTATCCTTCTGTAGCCAAAAAGCAATCAATATAGCTTGACATCATTATCTCTGGTCCAGAGTTTGATTCCCAATAAGGTTATTGTAGAAAACAAACTTTTCTCTGTCTCCTGTCTAATTAGTTGATGTGAAACCATTGTTGTTTCTGGTCTTTATTACCCAATTGCTTCAAATAATACTTACTTTCATTTTTATTTTGTTCTCGACATGACTCGCCCAGTTCAATTTGTTGTCTAAGGTGATGAGTTTTGTTTATAAAGAGTTCTGGTAGTTGGAGCTCTTGTAAATTCTATAATGCACTTATTAAGTACTTTTATTGACAGCGTTAGGCACTATGAATTCAATTATATATTTTACTAGTAGATGTTAACCATTATTTATTAAAACTATTAACTAAAGTTCTTTGATTTATAAACTACGCATTATGTTTTCCTTTAATCTGACAATTGGGCTAAGTTATATCATTTTACACCAAATAATTAACCAAATCATTAGTTGCGATTTTCAAACGTTTTTGATCTAAGTAACTGATAACATTTTACACATGTACGAAACTTTTGTGGTTAGTGGTATTAGTCTAATTGAATCATTATACACAAAATAAATAAGCATTTGTCTTTTACTTTTTGTGCTATAAATTAAGTTACATTCTTTTTCACCAACCAACAATACATAGTTTTTTTTTTGTATATTAATATGAGTCATCTTATATTGTTAATCACAAATTCAATCTGAACAACTTCAATCGTGTAAAAAGTAGTAACACGAGTCGTACCTCTTGACACAATAAGAAATTGAAAGAAGCCTCCGGTACACTTTGTTAAAAGTAGACATGTATCAATATACACGAAAGAAAACTCAAAATTGGTTCACAAAGCCTTACTTGTATCATTTGGCACAAAATTATTTTCTTTTCTATACGTCGTAGAAACATACCGATAAGATACAAAAATAGCTAATTTTTCAGAGATTCACATTATGTTATAAAGTC